TAACAATCAAGACAATCCTTCATAGAAATGCCCTCAGACAGTACTCATTTGAGACTCCTTTTTTGGATGATTCTAGGCTATGTCAAGTTGACTATTAATGCTAATGAGGATAGGACACGTATTTAAGGTCAGTCAGATGTTAAGAACATCTATACACAGAATATATTGCATCACAAGAGAAGAAGTTTTCTGTCACTGGAAGCATCTAAGCAAAAGTTAGAGGTTCTTTAACTGGTTTTGTTGTTGAGTTTAAAAAAACCTCAACCTGGGGCTTCAATATATAGTCTGCCATTGCAGATTAGAAGGCAGCAATAGCCCAGTTCTATGGCATCCAGATCATTCTAGAACTTAACACCCTTCCTGTGAGCCATGTGGAATCATCAGCCCATGGGGCAGAAAGTGTCAAGGTTTGAAGGATCTATTTTGTGCAGTTGGTTAAACAAGTCCCCAAATAGAGAAGGCCCTGGGCAAAGGAGCCAGAATAGGGTGAAGACTGGGGCAAGCTTCTGCCTCTCTCTCTGGGAATTCTGCTCTGCCAGGCTGTTTCAACAGGAATAGGGAGACAGTATACATCATGTGACCTTGGCCTGGATCTGTGCAGGGACTATCTCTTGCTTTGCTTGTCCCAGGGGCAATAACATCCTCCTGAGTATCAGGCAGGGCACAGGAAAGAGTATGGAAGAGATGGTGGGGCTGTGCTGAGCCTTCTCACCAGCCCTGTACCTCACATGTACCCTGGGACTCTACAGGTTTATAATGGGTGTGACTTCTATCCTTGTTCAGCTTCTGTCTCCGAGCCTAAATGCCTCCCTGGTTCCTTGTGCTATCCATGCCTCCACACCCCATCTGAGGGCTCCTTCCATTGACATGCCCCTTCCATCTTGTGTAACTGCCTTTGGCCACCCTAATGCTCTTCCTCTTCTTCCTATGCAGTCACCCTTCCTCCCCTGGCTGTGGGTCTAGCAGATCCTGCTTGTCACAGAGTGCTTGTGTGCCAGCTGGGATCACCACAGCCCTCTTTGGACTGTACACACAGGTCTGTGAGGGAGGTCTCCTCCTTGTCTAGTGGCAGAGTGGAGATGCACAGATTGGAGTGATGAAGCTAATGCTGGAGAAGCTGAGGGCCTTTGAGCCCCTCACTTTTGGTCCCTGCTCCTCCTGAGATTTCCACATGGCTAACACAGGTCCCTTTGGGCAGGGGTGTCACACTGGATTGATTTATTGATTGATTGATTTCTTTCTTTCAACTTAAAAAAAATTTATTTATTATTTTTATTTTATGTGTATGCATGTATTACCTGCATGTAGGTAAGTGCACCCATGTCGTACAATGCCTGTGGAAGTCAGAAGAGGCTGTCAGATCCCCTGGGACTGGAGTTACAGACAGTTGTTAGCTGCCATGTGGGTGCTGGGATTTGAACCTGGGTCTTAACTGCAAGAACAATCAGTGTTCTTAACCGCTGAGCCATCTCTCTAGCCCCTTTCTTTCTTTTTTTATTTTTATTTTTACTTTTTATTTTTTTTTTAGGGGAGGAAAGGATTTACTTCAGTTTACAATTCCAAGTCAGAGCCTCCCAGTGAGGGAAGTCAACATAGGAACTTAAAAGCAAGCCTGCTTGCTATTCCACACAGCATTATCTCTGACCAAGGAACTCACTTCACAGCCCAGAATTATAGCAGGAACCATGGAGGATGCTGCTTGCTAGCAGGCTTAAAGCCAGCTTGTACTCAGCTAGTCCAGGACCACCTGCCTAGGGATGGTACTGCCTACAGTGGTCTGGGCCCTCCTACATCAATTAACAATCAAGACAAACCCCTACAGACATGCCCACAATTGCTTTAGGTAGCTCTTCAGTTGAGGGTTCCCTCTTAGACTGTACTGTGCCAAGTTGACAATTAAAGCTAACCAAGACAATCCTTTATATCAGACAGCGAGATCCAAAGTTCTGAGTGTACTTATTGAATCTTAGAACACAAGGCAGAGTCTGTGGCTATGCTTCTTCTACTGTTAGCCATTACCTAGTCTACCACTGTCTCCCCTGTCTGCAGTGGTCCTCCTTTGGACTAATCACAGGGTCTAGGACTTCTAATCTCTAAATTTTCAACTCAAAGGAATATATTTAGCCTAATAAATGGGCAATAAGGAAAAATACGATGTGGTACTGTTAGCCTCCCATCCTAAATTAGACTATATAGTTTTATGTTCCTTATTTCAAAGATGATATGCTATTGGCGGTAAAAACACACTTTGAATTCTATAGCATAATTAATATAGATGATTAAATGTCCTATCATGCCTCTTTCTCATGTCTGACAGTCACATTTATTTTATATGAATAATTTTCAGGAATGTGGTGATACAGAAGGACCACATGATTTCACTGCCATCCACACTTCAAACACCATGTGTAGAGAGTGTCTTTATCTACAAAGTGCCCTGGCATTTCATGGTAACATTATCTGTTTTTTTTAAAAAAATAATTTATTGAGAATTTCATACATGCATATAAGGTGTTTTGATCAAATCCATGCCTACTCCTTCCCCTCCAACTCCTCCCATATCTCCCCATCGCTTTTTTCTGAGAACTTCATGTACTCTTCTTCTTTTTTTTTATAGGGCTTTTTGCCACTCTAACATTATCCCCCTCTGAAGAGGTAACCCTAAAATCTTTAAAGGATCAGATAAGAGCTCCCAAATACTTTCGACATTTTTGGCCTTTGGAGCGGAGTATGTTGCTAAGAGACCCAAGGACATTTTGATTTTTAGCCAAGAAACTGGATACTTTTCTTTGGGGTCTTTTTACACTAACTGCCTAGCCAAGTCCTACCTCCTATTCTTATCATACCATCCTCTGAAGAGGTTACCCAACTTGCGGATAGGGAATCAGGATAGGGAATCTGGCTTCTTCCATGCTGAACAGGGACACAGGGTGAGGCAATTGGGGTACCCCTTCAGTGGGTCTAGCTAAAAGACTCCCAAACTGCATTACTCTTATCTGTAGGGGGAAAAGAAAGTCCTTGACTGGTGAATAGGAGATGTGAAGGAGAAGTAAAGGCAAGAGTAATTAGCATTACAAGTTCTGGACAGGGAACTAGAAAAAAGTCAGAACAGGGCAAATTTCAAATGTTCATATGAGAGTCCATTGGCATTTCTTGATGAGAGCTTCCAAAAGCATCCCTCTATTGGATTCCTCCTCATTTTTCTTTTGTCTGCCAAGGCTGGACTTGAGAGTGATGGATTCAGGATTTCCTTACAGGCATTTTGATAGAATCAGTGTCAGTTCCTCTCAAAGCCTTCACCACGTGGAGAGAGGCAGGATCCAGGCGCTCTCAGCCTCCTGATTGTGTCTGTGCTAAGGCACAAAAGTTGCCATTTGGTTCTGACCATCTTGGTTTTCTGTTTCATCAACAGATGGAAGGACTAGGAGAAGGGCCCACTGTTGTAGGGTTCCTTGATATGCAACCTTGAAACTGACTGAGTTGGGGACATGGGTGGAGCTGAGTGGCATATTGTGACTGCTTAAATCAGGGGCAGCTCTGGTTCAAATGGAGAAGATCTGTCAGCTTATAAAAATGTTCCTTCATGCACTGCTTTGTGTTCACAGCTGTGCTCCCAGGGCCTGGTATGCTGAAGGTACTCAATAGATAGCTGTTAGAATAAGTGAGTGAATTCAGCAAATATTTATTTATTAAATATTACCTGCTGTTTTCCATGCACTGTGGTAGGTGGGCCAGTCTTATGTGTTACAGGGATGACGTGCATGCACATGTGTCTACGCAGATGTGGGCACGCATATATTAACACTCGTCTTAATGTGTTTTATTGGCCTCTTTGATTATGGGCTTCATTGGTGGTTAATAACACCATTTGCTGGGCTCAGCCAGCATTAGATTTTTGTGTTTTGATTTCCAAGGTAAGCCCTTGATTTTTTTTTTTTTAAAGGGACTATTTTGATGCAGATGGAACGTGAGAATGAACTGAAAGCAGAGCCCACACCCTTGGCGCACCGTCCTGGCTTAATTCCCGTGGGGAGTATTAGCCCCCTGCTGTACCACGCATGTGTGCATGTGTGCTTTAGGTCTGAAACAATAGTGCTTTGTCCTAGAGTGGAGTCTACCCACCCAAGGGATGGTTTACCTTTGCTCCTGGAATTTTCCCCTCTTGCCCATGGGAAGGCAGAATGTTCAGTCACAGTGCTGTACCTTGCTAGCTTTTGTGTCCCTCTGTTCCCCTTGTAAAGCAATAGAACTCTGTTCAAATGAAATCTTTTTTTAAATTTACATTTTATTTATTTATTTTAATTTTACGTGTATGAGTGTTTTGGCTGCCTGTATGTAACTATGCCACCTGTGTGCCTGTTGCCTGTGGAGGACAGAAGAGAGCATTGGATCCCCTGAAACTGGAGTTAAGGATGGGTGTTAGCTGCCATGTGGGTGCTGGGAACTGAATCTGGATCCTCTGAAAAAGCAGCCAGTGCTCTTTACCACTGAGTTATTTCTCCAGGCCCCAAATGAAGTCAAATATGTATATATAAAATAATGTGTGTATCTGTGTGTATGTATGCAAACAAGTGTATGGATACCTGTGGAGGCCAGAAGGGGGCATTGGATCTCCTTGGAGCTGGAGTTACAGGCCATTGCGAGCCACCTGATGTGGGTGCTAGTAACTGAACTCAGGTTCTCTGGAAGAGCCACAAGTGCTCTTAACTGCTGAGCCATCTCTCCAGCCCCTTCAAATGAAGGCTTATATGGAGTGCTCTGACTGCAGTAATATAGATCTGCTGTGCTTAAAATGGGGACCCTGTCCTGTGCTCAGCCTCCTTAACCTCCCCCAACTTCCATGTCATAGAACTTGCTAGAGCCTGATGGCTTCCCTGGCCCCAGAGGGAGAGCCTGCACACATGTCTGTTGTACACACTGGCATTCTGTCACTTGTTAAGCGTGGAACACTCACACCTCCTCTCTCTCTCCTCTTCCTTTTGCTCATCTTGGCCCCACAGGCTGGCCTTATCCACACTGACAGCACTGACTACTTCATCGAGCCTCTGGAGCGAGGGCAACAGGAGAAAGAGGCTGGTGGGAGGACACACGTGGTATACCGTCGGGAAGCCATCCATCGGGAGTGGGCAGAGCCTCATGAGGACCTTCACAATGAAGGTAGGCTGTGGGCTGGGGTCCCAGGTGCCACCTTTGTCCCCGCCTCTGGGGTATCTTCTGGCTTTATGTCCTCAACTGCCATAACAACAACAGATTGAAGAGGCTGCTATAGTTGGCTAGAGATAGGGACCAGAGGGAACACGTGGGTTATGAAAAGGGTCCTTGGGATTTCCAGCATCTCTGAGGGGTCAGTGCTTTGCTTTGAAAGGCTATGGCTGAGCTGAAGCAGAAGCTGAACTGACTACCATTGCTTCTTTCCCCCCAAAAAATCAACTCCACTGTGTGGGAGCTGTAGGAGGGGGTTTCTTAAGGTCCTTGCATGTAGGTCAGTGCCTCGGGGCAGCTCCGTGACCAGTGAACCATTTTGAACTCCTGCTCCGTGACCCTAGGGAAGTTCATTAACATCTCTGAGCCTCATTCTCCTAATTAGTGAATGGGAGACAATCTACCTGCTAAAGATGTTATACATATTGGTGAGATCACATAAAATTCTGTGCATACATATACCTTTAATCTCAGCATTTGGGAGGCAGAGGCAGTTGGGTCTACATAGTGAGTTCCAAGATAACCAGAGCTGCACAGTAAGGCCCTGTGTCAAAAAAAAATGGCCCTGGTAGCACAGGCCTTTAATCCCAGTACTTGGGAAGCGGAGGCAGGCAGATCTCTATGAGATTGAGGCCAGCATGGCCAAGTTCCAGGCCAGCTGGGATTACAGAGACCCTGTCTCAAACAAACAAAATAAGCAAACCAAAATCTGTACAAGGCAGTGACACCCCTGGTGACCAATACTTGGAATCCTCGGTTGGGAAAATGACATCAAATATGTGACAGGTGCCAGTCCTGGTCCCGTGGCTTAGCTTTGTTATGAAGTTCCTTTTACCAAGAAGCCATGACAAGGGCTAGATGGAATCTGGTCATGAGTGGCCACACCCTCATGCTAGGGTCCTATGGGTGGGTCCTGATGTGAAGGAATGCCTGGAGACCAGTTGTCCCATACGTAATACCTCCTGGGAAGCTCCAGCTGCTCCCACATAAGAGTTGGAGTGGCTGTGGAGCTGGGGGCAGGAATGAGGGGCCAGATGAAGGCTCTGATGGGAGACTGGTGTGGGTCAGGTATCAGTTGATGGCATATATAGCCCCTTCTTTCTATAGAAAAGAACCTAAGTCTCCCTTGGGCTCCTTTTTGTTGTTGTTGTTTTTTTCTGTTTTCTTTTTTTCTTTTTTGAGGGCAGTTCTGAACCAAAAGGCCATAAATCCATCTTTGGGGAGAGCCTTGAGGAAGCTTAGTGCCCCTTCATGAACCAGGCTCCAGCCTGCTTGGCAACCACATGGAGCTTACAGAGTTCAGGCATAGGCGCAGGAAAGCATTTCTAGTCTTCTATACCTCAGACTACTTGACTGAAACTCCCGTGCATCAGCCAATGGGGTTAGGGCCAGACTACCTGTGGTCCTTCTTCCTAGAGACAAGAGATGTTTTCAGGCACCCATGACTCTCAAGGTTCACTGTCAGGAGTGGTGTGTGAGAAGCATCCTGGGTATGCCTTTCCCCATGTGATGAGCCAGGCAAGCAGAGGGTTTCTCTCAGGTCTTCTTCCCACCTGGCATGGGGGGAACCACCTCTGAGCCTGGCAGAGGAGCCCCCAGCTTAATCTCCTTCATCTCTGCCTGGCCTCATTCTGTGCGGATACCCCTCCCCTGGTCCCTCAGAGCCTGCAGCACTCCTCCCTCCCCTCCACAGGTTGAAAGTTCTGGAGGACAGAACCCAAAGCTTCATCATCTTTGTGTAACCCCCTACATGTCCTGTTCCCATGTGGGCATCCAGCATCCCTGGAGGAAGGAGAGACAGGAGGCACCAGAGGCTCCATCAGATGGGCCTGCTAGCTGAGCTGCTTCTAGAAGGGCTTCTCCATAAAGGGGCACATTGTTCACTCATGAACTTAGAGTGGAGGGGACTATTACTTTAGGACCTCAGGGTGTGGCCTTGGCTGCTGCTTCCTGAAGAGGGTATGTGTGCATACTTATAGACCCACATACCCACACTGTCACCTGCCCCAGGGTATTACATGAATACTCAAACATGCAGTGGTATAAGCCCAGACCCCCTCACTCATCTACACACTCACATATTCTCACATCCTAACACCCACCTACTACACTATCATCTCCCTTCATGTACCCTCATAAATTCCCACACATGCCAACACCCCCCTCCCAAGCACACCACGTGCAAATTCTCAGACATTCACTCAGTCACACACATGACTTAGGCCCCTGAGGAATTACTAAGCATTGTTCTTCTCCAGGGCTTGGTGAGAAGCTGCAACCTTCTGAGTGCAGTTAGGAAACTTGGACCTCTAGGTCTCAGGCACATGTACCAGGCCCTTGAGGCTTCCAGCTGTATGCCCTAGCTGGGCCTCAAACTTTGTTCTGGATTCTCCCTGCCCAGCCCCTAACACTGCCTTCTCCTTTGGTCAGGCCTACCCTACATATCCTTCCTCCCCTATGTCTTCCTAGAAGAGGGAACTGGATGTGGCAGAGTTCTGAGCCTTGGCATCTGACAGTCCCTCCCATAGGGGCAGCTAGCCTGGGGCTCAATGTTGCTTACATTGCTGCTTAAAAAAAAAGATTGAAGCTGGGCATGGTGGAACATGCCTTTAATTACAGTACTGGGAGGCAGAGGCAGGCAGGTCTCTGTGAGACAGAGGCCAGCCTGGTCTACATAGTGAGTTCCAGGACAGCTGGGCTACAGGGAGACCCTGTCTCAAAAAGACCGAAAAAAAAAAACCCTGATCTTTATAAGTATTTTTTGCATGTGTATGTGGTGTGTTTACATATGTGTTCCCATGTATATTGCTGCACATGTGTGTGTAGATATGTATGTGTGTGTGAGTGTGTAGGTCCAAGGTTGACGTTAAATGTCTTCCAAGTTCTTCACCTTATGTATTGAGATAGGCTGTCCCACTTGCCCTGAGAACCTGTAAGTTTGGCTGGTGTAGCTAGCCAGCTTGTTACAGGGATCCCCTGTATCTGCCTCACAAACACTGGGGTTGCAGGCATATAGCCATGCCTCCTGGGAATTTATGTGAGTTCTAGGGATTTGACCCTGGCCCTCATGCTTGTATGGAAGTGCTTTACCCACTTTTCCCAGCCCCCGAATATACTGTTTTAAAGTACACAATTGTCTGGCTCTATAAGAAAGATTTATTGGGATTGGAGAGATGGCTCAGTGGTTAAGAGCACTGCCTGCTCTTCCAGAGGACCTGGGTTTGATTCCCAGCACCCACATGGTGACTTAACAATCATTTGTAACCCCAGTTCCAGGAGATCTGATGCCCTCTTCTGGCCTCCTTGGGATTTTCATGACTCAGGTACACTTACATACAAGCAGGTAACAGTCATACACATAAAATAAAAATAAATCCAGAACTGGAGTTACAGACAGTTGTTAGCTGCCATTGGGTGCTGGGATTCAAACCCAGGTCTTCTGCAAGAACAACTGTGTTCTTAACTGCCGAGTCATCTCTCCAGCCCCATAAATCAAAAAAAATTTTAAGAAAGATTTATGTATTTTTATTTTATGCCTATGTGTGCCTGCATGTATGTATGTGCACAAGGTGTATGTAGTACCCTTAGGGGCCAAAAGAGGGCATCGGATCCCCTAGAACCAGAGTTACAGACAGTTGTGAGCCTCCCAAATGTGGGTGCTGAGAACCAAACCCAGGTCCTCTGTAAGAGTAGCAAGAGCTCTTAACTGCCGAGCCTTCTCTTCAGCCCCTTGTTGGCTTTTTGCTATCCTCACAATACTATGCAACCAAAACCCTTGTCTAATTCCAGAACATTTCCATCACCCTCATCAAATTCTCCACAGTCCAGTCACTTCTTTTTCCCCTCCCTACCCCTAGCAAATATTCATTGGCCTCCTGTCAGTAGGGATTTCTACAGAGTCCATTCCTATGATCACAGTCACTTGATAGGAGGGCCATGCCACTGACTTCTCTTTCAAGACTTCCCACTGTAGTGGACTTAGCACCACACTCATTTTCATGACATATTCTCCCTTCTATGTCTCCACCCCTCTGCCCATATACCCTTGTGCTGCTGTGATGCTGCTCTGAACACGTGTGTGAGGTTTTCTGTGAATACAGCTGTCTTGGGGTATGGCCTGGGAATGGAATCCACGGGTCACAGGATAACCCCAGGTTTCAGGCTTTGGAGACTGCTCACTGTTTTTTTCAGAGAAGCTGTACCCCTTTCACTCACTTGGGATTCCTTGGGTGGGCTCCTTCATACCTCGTGGTCACAGGATAACCCCAGGTTTCAGGCTTTGGAGACTGCTCACTGTTTTTTGGAGCTCTGGCTCACTGTGCCTACAGGGTCACACTGAAGAGAGCAAAACTGGGGCATCCCTGGCACCCTGATGGGCATAAGACCACCTCCCTCTTTCCCCATGTGCTGAAAGGGAAATTTAGGCGGTCCTTGATAGAGTGTAGCAACGGGGAAGGTGTGACTCAGGTTTATAGTTTGATGTCTTGCCATTAATTTACTGTGTGATCTACAATGAGTTGGGTAACCTCTCTGAGCCTCCTCTGGCAGACCTTGGAAGGACGGGCTCCCAAGGTGATGGAGTATTCTACTCATAATACTTAAACCTCCAGGTGCTGCTCACATGCTGGAATGACTGTTACTACCCCCTTGATGGAGACAGCCCTTCCCTCTCCTCCTGGGGCTCTCCCTTCTTTCTTCCAGTGGTCTCTTTAAGCTACTAGAATCACTGTTGGGCTTAGCTACCAGGCTACCAGAAATGCTCACTGTTTTAGATTTTTAGGGTTAGGGATGCTCAGCTGGTAAAATCTATGAGTGTTCCAAAATCTGAAAAACTTGTCTGAAGCATTTCAGACAAGGGACCCTCACATTGGATGTTGGTACCGTCATATTTCTGTCACCCACACTAAGTTGTAGACCCAACTGCTGTCTGTCCACTCACTCAGTATGGCCCCTCCTGCTAATCCTACCCCTGATACATACTAGGAGTATATACCTTTATAACCCCAGCTCCTGGCCCAGTTTAGGTGGGTCTGAAATAACTGGATTAATGAGTGTTCTTAGAAACCAACTTGAGGGCCTAGTGATGTAGCTCAGTTGGTAGAGTGCTTGTCTAGCATGCAGGAGGCCCTGGATTCATTCCTAGCACCCCAAATACTGGGTGCAGTGGTACACATCTATAATACCACTTGGGAAGATGAGACAGGACAGTCAGAAGTTCACGATTTCAGCTATGTAGTAAGTTCAAGGCCAGCCTGAACTACATGAGACCCTGTCTGGAAAAGAAAGAGAAGGAGGGAGGGAGGGAGGAAGAAAGGGAGGGAAGGAGGGAAGGACGAAAGAAAGGAAACAAACAAACTAGGGGCTGCAGAAATGGCTCAGCAGTTAAGAGTACTAGCTGCTCTCCCAGAGGACCAGAGTTCAATCCCTAGCACCAACAATGGGAGGCTCACAGGGAACCTGATGCCCTCTTCTGGCCTCCTTGGCCATTTGCATACACGTGTCATACACACACAGACACATACACATTTTTAAAAACTTCAAAAAAAAAGGGGGGCTGGAGAGATGGTTTGGCAGTTAAGATCATTGACTGTTCTTGCAGAGGACCCAGGTTTGGTTCCCAGCACCCACATGGCAGCTAACAACCATCTGTAACTCCAGTTTCAGGGGATCCAGCTCCCTCTTCTGACCTGCATGGGCATTGCAGGACACAGGTGCATTTACATACATGCAGGCAAAACACTCATACACATAAACATTTTGAAAAAGAAATAAATTCAATGTATCATAGCTCTTTCTTTCTGTCCTGGTTCCAGCCTTTGGCCTTGGTGACCTTCCCAACATGCTGGGCCTGGTGGGGGACCAGCTGGGTGACACAGAGCGGAAGCGGCGGCATGCCAAGCCAGGCAGCTACAGCATCGAGGTGCTGCTGGCAGTGGACGACTCGGTGGTTCGCTTCCACGGCAAGGAACACACACAGAACTACGTCCTCACGCTCATGAACATTGTGAGTGCCTGTGCCGGTGGGTGGATGGATGCTGATGCCCAGGCTCCTCTAAGAGTGACAACTCTTCCCCTTAGCCCAGAGTGGGAGCCCTTAGCAGACAGGTACTGTGGCATAAACTGGCCTGACATTCCTGGGTTCTGGCAGGTGTGTGTTCTAGGCCTGGTCACACTTAGAGTCAATATGAAACATGGCCTGAGGACTCACTTGCCTTGGCATTGAGGGGCTATCCCTGAGATTCAGTCCCTGCAGAAGATGCCAAGTCTAGGCTGGGAGGCATCTGGGTGCCAGCCCTCTTTGAGGGACTCCTAGGTCCCTGGAGTGGGCCATGGGAGCTTACAGGGATCAGACAGGCAAGGAAAAGTCCCAAGGACAGATGGGAAGATGGGAGAGAACTGCAATCTCTGATCCAGGTAACCCAGGTTGGCCTCAAGTTCTATACATAGCCAAGGATGACCTTGAACTTCTGATCTTTCTGCCTCCACCTTCTAAGTGCTAGGATTATAGACATGTTCTACCATGTTTTTGTGGTGCTAGGGATCGAACCCAAGGCTTCTTGCTTGCTAGGCAAGCAACCTATCAATGGAGTCACATCCTCAGCCCAATAACACTTTAATTTGGCAAGTCGAAATATGTTTATGGGAACTGGACAGCTGGGGCACCAGGGGACACCAGGCCCCCTGGGAATTGGCAGAGTAAGACAGTGTGATGTTGGCTCTGCTGCCCGGAGGTGGCTGCTGAGAAAGCAGCCCCTTATGAGCTATGTGCCCTTGGGCAGGGGGACCTGCCTTCTTAGCATTCTGTAGGCTTCAAATGATACAACCCCAGCTCCATGTAGATTAAGAAGAACAAGATCATATGTGGACTCTGCGTCAAACTGCAGGAGGAACAGGTTGGTGCTGACAGGAAGAGGTGTGCACGGACTGTTTTTAGTCTCCCTTTTCTTTCTGTGACATCATCTTAGTTCCCTCTGACTAACGTTTCTACAAGACAGATTCCGGCTTCCAGCAACACAAGGCAGCCGGAATCTTTCAGCTCCAATGAGGCTTTGAGCCTGTGCTGGGCACTGAGGTCACTGGGTCCCTTATGTGTAGGTTCTGGGATCTGAGAGAGGTCAGCCCAAGTGACCAGGGAATGGAAGGGCTGCTCTAGGGGATAGGGCCAAAGGTTGAACTCACCTTGGAGGTATAGGGCTGAAGCAGTGCAGCTAGGAAAGTGATAGGAAGAGCAGTGGGTGGATCAATGGGTGGACAGGCTCTTGTTCATCAGTCAGACTTGAGGCTTCCCTCGGGAACAGAAGAGGTTATGGATTTGTTTGTCGGAGACAGGAGCTTTCTAGATACTACAAGCTGCTTCTACCCCTCTTTTCCTTTTTGTGGTTCTGGGGGTTGAACCTAGAGCTTTGCACATGCTAGGCAGATATTACCACCGAGCCCTATTCCTAGCTCCTTTTTTCCCCTCTTTTTGAGACAGGGTCTTGCTAAGTTTCCCAGGCTGACCTTGAACTCACTCTGTAGTCCAGGCAGGCCTTACACTTTCAACTTTCCTGCCTTTGCCTCCTGAGTGCTGGGATTACAGACCTTGGCTTTACCTGGCTAGGGAGAGGTCTTTTGGTGGAGATCTTTTTAGGAAGAGAGATCCTTTCTTTTCACAGGCCAAAGAATACTTTGGAAACTTGCTCAGACTGAGGTGTAGTGATTTCAGAAAGGGCTGGTAAACCCCTCAGATGGGGAGCTGTAAGAGAGTGCCAGTGGAGTGGCTGGGAAGGGGTGGGAAGTTCCTTCTTGGACCCGGTGGTTCAGTTTCTGGAGGCTGGTGTTCACTGTCCTCTTTCCCAGGTCCTTCCCCACCTCTCCAGAACCATATTGCTGGAGGAAGGCCAGCTCATGGCCCACCCTAGCTCTCTTGGCCCAATTACTATAATCTGATATTTGATCCTTGATCTCTGACTCATGACTTATACCCTTAGCTGGGAGCATCGTCAGTCTCCCCTACAGACAGTGTTCCAAGAGCCTTCTTTGGAGACTGCCGTGTGAGTTCTTCCCTCCCTCCCTCCCTTCCTTCTTTCTCTCTGCTCCCCTTTTGGTTTTGGTTTTGAGATGCTGTGTCCCTGTGTAGCCCAGGCTGACCTCCAACTCCTGATCCTCCTACCTCCCCCTTCCAAGTGCTGGGATTACAGGTATGGACTGCCATGTCTGGCCTGGGTTCAGTATCATAGGCTGGGCTACTTACTTGCTTATTGCTAGCTTGTTGTGTGAATGGTAGCCTGGGACGGGGCAGCTGAGGCAGAGCTTCCTGTGGAGCCCAGATTTTCTAATAGGGAGGCACATGGTACCCACACAGGCTGTTGTTTAAGGGGTCCTGATGCATGCCTGCCACTGCCATCAAAGCAAGCAGCTGGTGTGGGGTTGTGACTTCCTCGCACAGAGGCTGACCAGCCAGACTTCCTGACCCTGGAGGTGAACAGATGGGCGGTAGACATCTGTGTGTGAGACTTCTATTGTGTGAGACTTTTATCTGGCTAGGATGCTAGAAACATAGATACGCTTGAGGGACTTCATGGAGACAGGGACCATGGTGTCACTTTACTTTTCCTTGAAGCATTGCCTGTCTGTGGCCCTGCCAGTGCTGACTTCCTAGTGTGGCCTTGTGGGATCATGGAGGGGATCTGGTTGCCAGGATGGATTATTGTGCCAGTGCAGAAGGAGAGGAGCAGATGTGATGAGACAGTCACAATCATCTGAGGTGGTCCTGACCCGGAAGTGGCCAGGGCTATGCAAGAGTACATCAGGCCAGTCCTGCCTTCGATTTTTATTTTTACAGCATCTCAGGATATGCTGTAAATGTTCACAGCTGCTGGTGGCAGGCAGGGACTCCCTCTTCATCCCTTTCTGGCCCAGTGGTGGGCTTTGGAGGACTTGTCTTTCTCTGTGCCTTGTTTTTACCCATTTTTCCTGCTCACTTTTTGGGAAAATTCTTCAACTTTCAGTACTAGGGAACTTTGAGCACCTGCTGGGAACCTGTTGATTAGACAGAATCCTGTTCTAGAAGCTTTGGTTTGGCTGCACAAACAAATCTTAGTCTCCTAGTATTAAATGAGAATTGTACCCCTCCCCCCCATCAGCTTCATGTATTTGGACATCTTGTCCCAGTTGGCAGTGCTTTTCTGGGAGGTTTTAGGAGGTTAAGTCTTGCTGGAGGAAGCACATCACTGGGGTCAGACTTGCATGTTCTTCAGGCTTCTAGTCTCTCTTTGCTTCCTGTACTTACTTAAAGATGTGATCACTCGGCTTTCAGCTCCAGCCACCTTCTGCCATATGCCTCCCCTGCCATTATGGGCTCTAACCCTCTGGAACCATAGCCAAATAAGCTCTTCCTTCTAAAAGTTCCTTTGGTAAAAGTGTCTTATCACAATGACAGAAAAGTAACTAATTCACCTGGAATAATCAGAGATTCATTGAGGAGGATGCTAAAGGGGCTTAGAGGAGACCACCGTTCCTAAAGAAAGATGGGAAATGTCATCTTGCTTAGACATTGGAACTGAGTCAGGATGGGAGAGAGGCAATGGGTGAGATGAAGAGTGAGCTGGTGTATTGAGGTGGCAGCAGGCAACATGGTGGGACTGTGGAGGCAGGCCCAAGAAGGCAGACCTGACTGTGTAGGGTAAGGGCAGGCGGTAGAGGCTGCAGGGAGCTCTTGCGTGGGGCCTTACTGCAGTGGTGAGGAAGTCCAGGAGACAGTGGCGCGGGCTCTTATGTGAAGATGCAGGAGGGACAGTTCTGGATAGTGTCACCCCCAGTGGATTTAAGAATGTGAGCGTGGACCAGAGGCTGACTGAGGCTGCAGTGGACCAGTGCAAAGGCCAAAGAAGCAGGGTCACCTGGCTCATGCAGGCCACAGAGCTGAACACTTCATAGATTCCTTGTTGAACCCTTACCCTGTAGCTGAGTGTGGTCACATTCATTTCCTCCAGACTTTCAGGAGCTAAGTGGCCTGCTCAGAATCTGCATGGCACAAAGTGGCAGAGCTGGGCTTCAAACCCAGATCTCTTATCCCAAAGTTTATGCTTCCTACCTTTCTGCTGCTACCATTGCAGAACATGACAGACAACTCTGGGAAGGGGGAAGGGAAGAGTCTGAGTTCCCAACTTGGGGATTCTGCACCTTTGTAGGAAGAGCACTGCCTGAGATGGGCCTCCCTAGGCAATGTTCTCCCAGGCACATTCCTGCTCATGCCATCTGGACTCTGCCAGGACCCCTCTCCTCACCTGGGGTGAGGACTGCCTTGGATGCAGGGGTATGAGGATCCTCCTATGGCTGATATTTGAGTGGAGGGAAGGGAGAGACACAAGGAGAAAGTCCTTTCATCCTTCTTCACCCAGATAGTCTGTAGCCACAAACTCTTGACCTATGTCTTCTCTGGGAGCCCTCTTGGCAGCCCACCTGTTTAGATGAGTGGCCCCCTTGCTGCCTCTGACCCTACTCTGCCTCACCTGGCTGACAATGCAAAGATGTTGGGGCTGGTTGCCAGGGAGACATTGGCTGGCACCTACCAGCTTCATCTGCCTCATAGGGCTGTCAGACCAGGCCCATGGTGGCCTCATCCTACAAGGTAGTCTTCTGTTAGCATGTGACCTTGTTAACATTCATCCAACAGGTCTGTTTAGAGTACCATAAAACCTACTTTTTATTATCTGAGAGTGTGTTCTATCAGAACTCTTTGCCTTTCCCTTCTTCTATTTCTCCCCCAAACCTCCCTCTTCTTGTTATAGGTAAAAACAAAAAGCTAACTCACTTTAAGGCAGTGGTTCTTTGTGTGTGTATGTATGGTGCTGGGGATGGAATTCAGGGCCTCCCACATGCTAGGCAAATGCTTTCCCACTGAGCTGTACCTTTGGTCCAAAGCACTAGCCTTTCCAGCAAACAGTATAATTAATGTCTGGAGGTGTTTCCTCATTGTAACAGCAGGAGGAGGTGCAATACTGCTGGCATCTCGTGGGTAGA